AATTTTGGCAATTAAGTCAACAGCAAAATAATTTATACTATATATATAATTAGAACAACATGTGGATTTATAAATGAAATACATAGTATCAAATATCTATCATTTGATTAGTATTCATAATAATTGTTTTATATTAATTAATATTTATCTTGATATTTTATTTAATATTTTATTTTTTATCTTATTAATTATATATAAATAATAATGTACCAATAAGATATTATAAAATATTGAAGGAATTATATATTTAAAAACAGAATTTTTGATCTTAAATAAAGCAATTTAATTTTGAACTCCTATAATTTTAACATTTGAATTCTTTTTATCTTAATAAAATACTAATTATTTATTAAATAAACTTGGTTATAAAAATTCTAAGAATAAATTTTTAAATATTCTTGTTAATATTAGAGAAACTAGAATGTTTCTGCTAATATTTTACATTTTTTTTGATTAAGGTTAGCTCTAAAATAATGAATAATCCTATCTAATTTTGAATCTTTCTAAAAACTTCATTTTGAATATACAATTAAACTATTTTTAATCACATTATCTTATAAAGAAACTAGAATATTTCTACTAATATTTTGCATTCTTTTTGGTTAAGATTAGCTTTAAAATAATGAATAATTCTATCTAATCTTGAATTTTTCTAAAAATCTCTACTTTAAATATACAATTAAACTATTTTTAATTATACTATCTTGAAAATATATTATTGTTATTATTATTATATACTTTGAAATATATTTTAATTATTTTACAAGTACATCCATATTTCAAGAAAGTGGAACTATCAAAGTAGTGTATCTAGATATCAATAGTATTCTAAATACTATTGATTTTATAATTAATTTTTTTAATACTTTTTCTTATATAGTATTTTTTTCTTTTAAATTTTTTTTTATATCTTATTATATATAACTCTGAATAGGTATTTATAACTATTTAACACTATTTATAATAATTGCTGGAAGCTGAAAAACAAAAAGATATAGAAGATATTTGGTTTTGAACAAGATAATTTGATAATTATCTTTCATGATACTTGATATTTCTTTTTGATAAAAGGTTGCCTCTATAGAATTCTATTTACCATAATAGATACTACTCCAGTTTTCTTTTTTACTTTCTCTTAAAACACTTATAATTGGAAATATAATACAATATATTAATACAAAAGTAAGAAATCTATCATTGATATAGATACTAATATATAGTATAAGTGATTTGTTTATTATTATCAGTATATAGAAGTTGTGTTCTACTTGACATTTATATTTCTATATTTAATAGCTTAAACTAATCAAATTCCCTTAAAATATTTACTAGGAGATTTATAATGTTACATCTCACTTGATATTAAATATTTTTAGATTTTTGATAGCTTGTATTAATCAAGGACTTTAGTTTTTAAAGCATTTATTAAGAAATATATATATATTGAATCCTATCTATAGCTTATAAACTAAAAATAAGATATAAAAGATAATTTACTGAAGATTAATATATGTTTATAAAAATATTTTTTATCTAAAAAAAAAAAAAAAAAAGGATTAACAAATTAGATGATTTAAACTGGTAGCAAAACTTCCATCTGATATATAGGTCTACTCATGAAGTATAAATCCATATAGTTAGGTTAGAAAGCAATAGGTTATAATTAAATTTATATATATAATAGATTGTTGATGTCATAATTATAAACTAAAAAAATTTAATAAAAATCATATATATAATATTTATTGTTAAAAAAAAACAAAAAACTATTTAGTACTATTTCTAATATATATTGATTTTGATATTAATTTTCCTTTACTACTTAAATAATTTATTATAGACAAGCTAGTATTAAACTTGCTAATTATTTAATTATATAAAAAATGTTGTTATTTTCTTTATATATAAAATTTTAAATTTTTATAAATAATAAAATAATAATATTTATCTACTTTAAAAAAAAAATTATTATTATTATTATTTTATAGTAAAATGATATTAGATATCAATTATTTATTAATATAAATATCTTGATTATATATTATACATTGTTTGCAATACTAGACTATAGCTAAATACTAATATATTTTACTTTTTAATCTAACTTGTAAACTTATACTTCAAAAGTAAGCTTATATATATTTAATAAGATTAATCAGGAGATGAAAATTCTGTCATCAGTTTAAACTATTTAACTTGTTAATTCATTTTTGTTAAAAAGTGAATCTATCTTGCAAAAATAAGTAGGATAACTAGATATTTCGATATTTTTTATCTTGAATTTTTAAGAAAATAGAATATTCAGATGGTTTAAAATTAGAAAGTTTTTCTTATAGAACTTATATTATTATTCGATAAATCATTTTTTTTTATATTATATCTTTGATTTATCAATATCTAGAATTAGAAAACATTCTAATATATATACTTTCTAGTAAATACTCTAAGAACTTACTTTTCTTAGTTGATACAAACAATCAAATCTAGAGATATAAATGTCATATAGAACATGGCTCCTATTATTTTCTAGTAGATACTTCAAAAAAGGAAGTTCAGTTGGTTTTGGTTATCAAATCTAGAAACATAAATATTAAGTAAGATATAACTCCTATAAAGATATCTTAGAACTGGCTATGGTTAGTCTAGTATTAATATTTATATTGACAATCTTTTCCAAGTTAACTTTTACTTTCTAATAATAAGAGTAGTAAGCTTTTTATCAAAATTAGATTAGAAGTTTTTCCTTATACAATCTTTCTTGCTTCGACTTGTTTTCAATCTGCAATTGTCAAAAAGATCAGAAGTTTCATTTTTATATAACCTAACTGATTTTAATCAAGATTCAGATATTTGGATATGATATTTGTAGGAAAATCAGTAAAACCTATAAATAAAAAATAAATTTATATATTTTGTTTCTTGTGGATTTTGAACTAGAGATATATATTGGAGATTAGGAAGTATTACCCACTGTATTATTAATCTACTGATTAAAAAAAAAATTATTTTAATTTATTTGAAAATATTGTTTTATATTATTTTTATAATTTTTTTTATAAATTTATTATATTTAAATATATTTTAGTATAATTTATTATATATTTAAAATATAATGATAAATTAATTGCTTTTATTGAAAATCTAAATATTATATAAAAATTTTTTTCAATTGAATTTTAATAATTATAATTTTATGATTTTTTAATTCAACTAAAATGATAAAATAATATTATTATTCTGATTTTAAAATTTTCAAATATTTAAAAAATTTGATTTAAGATTTAAATAAATTATAAAATATATAAAAAATGATTTTAGATCTGTAGGCCAATAATATAGTGGTCAATGCTTTCAGGTTCAGATCACAAGATACTAATTTAATCCTAGGTAAAAGTAGTTAAATAGAATTAATATAGTATCCAGTACCATAGCCTGTTAAGTACCATTTCTTATAAAGAAGCCAATTCGATGCTGATCCAAGTGGGTGTCAAGAATATGATCTCCAGAAAATGTGTCGTGGCACAACAATCATTTGGTTGATGTTATAATGATCACTGAAAATGAAAAGATATACGAAATATTTAAGATGAAATACGTTGGTGTGGTAATCTTTTCCTGTGATATATGGTGTCTCTCCCTAAAAAGTCTAGCAAGAAGAAGATTTATCACTATAAGATTTCTATGAGCCAAAATAGGTTACGATAGTATAATACACAATGAATAGGATTATAATAGATAATAAATAGAATTGAATAGAGTTAAATAAGTTTCAGAGTTAAAGAAGTTTCAAATATAAAAATAATAATGGCAAACTTAATCCAGATAATCGAAGTTACCTATGGATAGATTTTAATTAATATAAGTATTAGTATAGTTTAATCTTTAGATATATGTAATGTATATAAAAAACTAACTATATTAATAAAAACTAGAGTAAAGTTTTACTTAGCTAATTAAAAAAAATATATAATAAAAAAAAAATAAAAATAATTTTAAAATAAAAAAAATTTTTTTTTTAATAAATTGTATATAATGTTTAAATTATATTAAATATCTTTACAAGATAAAATTATAAAATTATATTAATTAAGAGACATATCAAAGTATATAAATAATCTTATTACTTAAATATATATATTTTTTTAATCAAACTTTTTACATTCTCTTTATAATATAGTGATCTAGTCCAAAATGTTTTTTTTATTTTTATTTTTAAATAATATATTGTATCTGTTTATAGTAACAGGCCAATATATATAGTTATATATCTCATTCTTTTTTTGATTTTGTATAAATATATTTTATTAATTACTTTATAATCAATAAAGTTATGAGGAAGGCCTTACTTAATATTAAAAAAAAATTTTTTTATATTAATAAAAAAAATTTTTTTTATTATATTTAACAAATTTTTTTTAAAATTTTGTAATACTTATAGATTTTTAATTAATAAATAATTATATATTTTTAATTATTATTATTATTATTATTATTATTATTATTATTTAATAAAAAAAAATAAATATAAAATAAATATATATATTTCAAAGTGTTATAATAATATATGATTAACAAATAATTATTTATTTAAGATTATATTGTAAATCCATTAAAAATAACTTTAAAAATTTTTCTAATGCTACTAGACATTATTTTACTTTAATAAAAAAAAATTACCTTGCACATCAACCATTACCATAGATTAGAAAGTCAAACGTGTTGCAAAATAATTCGTGTGTGCCACATTTGTACACAAATTCTTTTGACCTGTTTTTAAACAACCGTGGATGCTACAAAATGGGAATCAATTAAAATTTTCGTTTCACCATGATAAAACTTTAAAAAATAAAACGCATTATAAGTGAGTACAACCCTATGCCGCCTTTTCTTATTTTATAAATGTTTTATAAAACGTTGCTTGATTTGTGACAGTTTTACACACAAACATTTATATCATCTGCACTCTTACAAGGATCAAGATCACCTGTTCGCCTGTTTTATTACGGTGACGACAATCCATTTGGGGTGCCCGAGTGAACTAGCCTCCAATAAGAAATTGCCAGAGGTAACTTGTTGGACAATGAATAGAACCATTTAGTGCGACATTTGATCAATTAATAATTCGTAAATACCGTAAAATTCGGGAGCCAACGTCAGTTGACCTCGACCAAGTGATCTTTTCGATTGCACCCAACGACAATCTTTACTCCTTGATATTCCTTTCGTCCATCAAGCTTGATTCGATTAACCTCTAACTAATAGAATCCACCGGGGTTTTACCTGTAATCTACAAGGAAGATGTTCCGGTCGACGATCGGAAACGAAAAAAGATCATGACACGGAAAATCATAACCCACGAGTTCCGAAATGACACAAATACCACGATCCCTAGCATGCATCTATTATATAACGTACGGAATGTGCTCGAACTTTGGTAAATCCATGAGCGATTCATGCAATAATTGTTTATCGAAATTCCTTACACAAATATTAATTGCTAATGTGTGCACCGTGTACACGCGACGCAAATTATCCGCGGAGAGGAGATATTAATAGAATGTGCGGCAAATAATTTCCAAATTTGGATA